TGGTGGTGGTGGTGGTGGTGGTGGTGGTGGTGGTGGTGGTGGTGGTGATGGTGGTGGTGGTGGTGGTGGTGGTGGTGGTGGTGGTGATGGTGATGGTGATGATAGTGATGATGGTGGTGATGGTGACGATGTGATAGGACCTGACGTGCTGCAGCACTGCTATGTGCCTGGTCTGTCGCAGGCTCTTGCCATATATCAATCCATCTCCATTTTGCACATGAGAACCCAGGGGATCTTGTTCAGCCCCCACAGTTGGGCACTGTTGAGTGGGCACAGCTTCTTGCTGGAACCTGACAGATTCTGGGGGTCCCCTTCGCTTGCTGCAATGGGCAAGATCCCCCCCAGAGCAGTGCGCCGCAGGCCTAGTGATTCTGGCTGAAGAGCGGCGGACACCTGCTTGCTTATGTCACTGATTTCCAGGAGACAGACGGGGGGACGTTCATGAATTACGCTGGTCTCCTGTCCCCACTTTCTCTAGGCCACCACCAGATTAGGTGGCACAGTTCCCAAAGTGGAGTGTGTCCCTCTCGGCTGGGAGCCGACCTGGGGCTGCCTGTCACTGGGGTGACAGCAGGGTCCTCAGCCTCAGCACCGTGGGCACCTCTATGCACTGCAGGCTCTCTCTCCATCAGGATCCTGGGCCTCCTCTACCTACTGTAGCATCCCCCTTAGTTTCGACAACCATAGTTACAAGCCATGGCCAAATATCCCCTGGAGAGCAAAGCATCCCCAGGATTACAGCGACTGTGTTAAAGGCGACAGACTTTGGACCTACATGATGTCATCGACCTCAGGACTCTGAGAAGACTCTCCCTTCCAGATGGCGGAGACCCTGTCCAATTTGTCTCCCTTCTCGTCCCCTGGGGATCCTCTATCGCTCATAACAGTGACGGGTCAAGCAATAGTTGTGACACGGAACACAGAATTGGGACGAGGACCAAGCTAGAGTGTAAACAGAAAGCCTGGGAGGGCCCAGGAGGGGGGACTGAATTGGGTTCTGTTACGATGGCGGCAGAGGGAGGTGGGCGCCTGCCTGAGCAAAGGTTGGGGTGCACAGGGGTATCTCAGGGAGGGTTGGGGGGAGGCAGGACAAGCCATGCAGCCCAGGGCCTTGTTACAAAAGGTCTTTGTTCTAGTCTGGACGTGGGGTATCTGGAAAAATCTCCTGTGCGAGGCAGAAATGTTGAGGGTGGAAATGATTAGATCAGGAGATCTGTAACCTAATCAGGGGATTGAGCCAGTTGATGGATTAATAATTTGAAAGGACGGCTCTGCTGGGGGTAACTGTAGGCAGCTGGGGTGGGGCCGGAGGAATTAGGTCGCTGGGGGCATGACCTCGGGGATGATATATTTGTCCCTGGCTCCTCTCCCTGTTTCCTGGCTGCGGGAGTGGACCGCTCTCCACCACACTCTCCCGCCATGATGTTCTGCCCCGGGCCCAGGACAATGGACTTGGCTCACCATGGACCGAACCTCTGAAACTGCGAGCCCCCCGATAAACTTTTCCTCCTCTAAGTTGTTCCCGTCAGGTGTTTTGGCCCCAGTGAGGCACAGTTGACTCGTATGGTCTTGAGCAACCTCTGGAGGGTGTGAAGTCTTCCAAGGGTTCCAAGCCAAGACCTTGGGTTTTAGAACAGTTCCTCTGGTAGCCAAGGGCGTGGACGGTGAACCACGGGGAGACTCGGCTGTGGATGGACTGGCAGGTGTCACGGTGATCTAAGGGAGAGTGGAGGCCCAGCAGAAGGATTCGAGGCATAGCCAGGCACCGTGGCTCACGCCTGTGATCCCAGAGACTCAGGAGGCTGAGGCAGGAGGATCGCAAGTTCAAGGCCAGCCTGGACAACGTAGTGAGACCCTGTCTCAAAATAAAATAAAAAAGGCTGAGGATGTAATTTAGAGGATGTAATTAATTTAGCCTTTGCCTAGCGTGGCTTGGGCTCAGTCCCCAGTGCCACTTTAAAAAAAAGAACAAAAGGTAGCAGCACCCGGCGGGTGAGCAGGACTTCTCCAGCTCAATTCTGAGACCAGGGATGGGGTGGCCCCAGGGAGAAGTCAGAAGCAGCAAGACCTGAAGGTGAGACCAAGCCTTGGGTCACTGATCTGAGCCTGTTATCCACAGTGAGAGATGGACTTTCTATTTTTGGCCTCCATCAATCTCTCCCTCTCCCTCTCCCTCTCCCTCTCCCCCACCCCCTCTCTCACACATACACATATACACACACTCCACATCTCTCTGTCTGAAGCAAAGATCTACAAGGCCCTGTCTCCCCTGCAACCAGCTATTCACTTTATTTTCTATTCTGCTCTATCTTATTCTCAAAATGCTGATCAGGAGCGAAACAAGAGCAAATGTATGGATCTCACGGATGGGAGGCCCCCACTCGGCCAAGCTGACCTCCAGGGGTAGAAACTGTAGGGGGGCTGCCTGGGGTGCAGACCAGCTGGGGCTGGATTGACTACAAAGAAGGGAGAGGAGCTGTTCCCCGTCTTGATTCGGCCGCGGTCGCAGGGCTCAGGCCTTCATCAAAAATAAATACATAAAAATAAATGCCACCAGGGGACTTCCCGGGGCTGTGGCGGTGTTCTCTATCTTGAGAGGCATTTGCATGGCACAGGTGAGCGCCTCGGGTCAAAATGCACCCAATGGGCCGCTTAGGATGGGTGCAGGGCACTGTAGGCAAACTGTACACCAAAAAGGAGGGCAGAATGTTAAGTTTTGATGCAACTTACTTTTAAAGTGCATTAAGAAGCAAGATCGATTGAGGAATGCAGCCAGGAATGGAAAAGTTCGTATTAGAAATATTACTTTATGTCAAGACAGTTCGCTCAGAAAAGAAGATTTTTCTTTTTTTTTTTTTTAATTTTTATTTATTCTCTTTAGTTATCTGTGCCAGTAGAGTGTATTTTGACCTATTATACATACACAGAGTACGACTTCCCATTCTTGTGGTTGTACATGATGTGTCGTTACGCTGGTCGTGTGTTCATATACGGACACGGGAAAGTGATGTCCAGTTCATTCCACTGTCTTTTCCATTCCCATCCCCCCTCCCTTCTCCCCACTCCGCCCCCTTCCCTGTGAGTCAGCATTCACATATCTGAGAGAACATTTGGCCTCTGGTTTTTTGGGGATTGGCTCGTTTCACTTAGCATGCTAGTCTCCAGTTCCATCCAATTACCAGCAAATGCCATAATTCCACTCTTCTTCATGGCTGAGTAATATTCCATTGTGTCTATGTACTGCATTTTAAAAGAAGTCTTTTCAATCAATGGTGCAGGGCCACCCCCACGCAGAAGAACAAAGTGGGATCCTGGCCTCGTTCACTCTGAACATATGAAGGACCTAAATGTAAGAGCTAAAGTTTAAAACTCTTAGGGAAAATGTAGACATAAATCTCCCTGACCTTGGGTTAGGCAAGGTTGTCTTAACTATGACAAAAAAAGTAAAAGCAATAAAAGAAAATGTAGAGAAGTCAGAGACCATCGAGTTTAAAGGCTTTTGTGCTTTACAGGACTTGGCCATGGTGGGTGTGGTTTGTCCCCCCCCCCCCCCCCGGGCTTCATATGTTGGAGGTTTGACTCAGTGTGGTGGTGCTCAGTGGTGGGAGCTTTATTTTATTTTATTTTTGGTACCAGGGCTTGAACCCAGGAGTGCTTCACCACTGAGCCACATCCCAGCCCTTTTATAGTTTATTTTGAAACAGAGTCTCACTAAGTGACTGTGGGCCTGGCTAAGTTGCTGAGGCTGGCCTCCAACTTGTGATCCTCCTGCTTCAGCCTCCTGAGACACTGGAATGGTTTGTGCCTCCACGCCTGGCCAGTGGTAGGACCTTCAAAAGACAGGGTCTAGTGGAAGATCCATAGGTCATGGGGACATGCCCTTGAAAAGGATTAAGGCAGTTCTTCTGGAGCCCTGAGTTAGTTCTTCCCAGAATGGGGTGTTATATAACAGTTCCTCCTCACCCTGGCTTCCTGTCTCACCTTGTGGACACTTCCTGCCATGATACCATCTACATGAAATCGGAGAATCTGGCACCATGTCCTTGAACTTCCAGAATAATGAGTTAAATAAGCTTCTTTTCTTTATAAGTTACCCAGCCTCAGGCATTTTGTGGTAGTAATAGAAAATGGACAAATACAGACACCATCCAAGTGAAAAGAAAATCCATGGGACAGGAGAAACAATTTTTGTAAATCACATATGGAATAAAGGACTTGTATCTAGAATATATAAACTGCTGTAATTCAATAGTAACGACGCAAGCCACTGATTTTAAAAGGGGCAAAGAACTTGAATAGACAGTTCTCCAAAGAAGATACCAAAGTGGTCCAGAAAAAAAAAAATGCAAAAATGCTTAACCTCATCAGAGAAATGCAAATGAAAGCCAAAGTGAGATCATATGGCACACCCACCAGGATGGCTATTAAAAAAACAAAACAACAACAACGGAAAAAAAAAAATAGGTAATAACAAATGTTGGTGGGGAAGTGGAGAAATGACCACTGGGACTGGAAAGGGTCTGGCAAGTGCTCACGTGGTTCTGCCTGCGGTGCTGTGAGCCAGCAGCTCAGCTCCTAGGTGTGAAGCAGGAGAAATGAAAACATACGCCCACATAAAGTTCTGAATACAAATGGCCAAGCAGCTTGACAGCAGGCCGAGGCGGGAAGGACCCGGATGTTCACCAGCAGTAAATAAAAGGTGATCTGCCCACAACAGAGATAGCATTTGGTGATAAAAAGACACATGCCATACGATGAACCCTTAAAACATCATACTGGGTGAAAGAGGCCAAGGTAAAGGGCCACCAGTTCTATGATTTTATTTATGCAAAATGTCCAGAACGGGCAAATCTATGCCAACAGCTAGTAAGTTTGTGGTTACCTGGGCCTGGGAGACTAGGAGACCAAGGTTGAGAGGTCCAGGACTTCTTCTTGGGGTATGAAAATGTTCCAGCCTGGTACAGTGGTGCACACCTGTCATCCCAGCAGCTTGGGAGGCTGAAGCAGGAGGATCACAGATTCAACGCCAGCCTCAGCAACAGCGAGGCCCTAAGCAACTCAGTGAGACCCTGTCTCTACATAAAATACAAAACAGGACTGGGGTTGGGGCTCAGTGGCTGAGTGCCCCCGAATTCAAACCCCACCCCACCCTCCCAAAAAAAAAAAAAAAAAAGAAAAAGAAAGAAAATGTTCTAAAATTGGTGGTGATGATGTGGACACACCAAGGCCATTGAACAACTTTCAAAAATCAGTAAGAAGCGCCCCGTGTGGTGGCACACGCCTGTCATCCCTGCAACTTGGGAGCCTGAGGCAGAAGGATCATGAGTTGAAGGCCAGCCTCAGCAATTTAGCAGGGCCCTAAGCAACTTAGAGAGACCCTGACTCAAAATAAAAAGGGCTGGGGATGTGGCTCAGTGGTGAAGCATCCCTGGGTTCAATCCCTGGCACCAAAAAAAACAAAAACAAAAACAAAAAACAAACAAACACCTCAAAACTCAATAAGCAGAAAACAAAGACTCCACTTTTCAAAATGGGCAGAACTTGTAAGCCCAGACATACAAACATGGACATACAGCAAATAAACACACGAACAGAGGCTCCACATCATTAGCCATTAGGGACATTAAAAACACAGCAAGAGGGCCCGGGCCGGGGCGGGGGCTCGGAGGCAGAGCGGGCGCCTAGCGGGTGTGAGGCACTGGGTTCGAACCTCCCACATAAAGTAAAATAAAGAAGCTGTGTCCACCTCTAACTAAAGAAAAAATTTAAAAAAATACAATAAGATATCATTGCACAAATATTCGAATGGCTAGAGACTTTTTAAATAGTGACAATACCAGGTAACAGTAAAGGACTGGAGGGACCCCAATTCCCGTACACCGCTGATGCGGGTGCAAACGGATACAGTTGTTAGGAAAAGTTTCTTACGTAGTAAAATACGAGCCCCTTGCCCCCTTCTAGGACTTACCCCGGAAAAAGGAAGACCTAGGCCCCTACACAAACCCTGTCTGCAAAGGTGCGCAGGGATTTTGACTGTGACGAAAACGGAAACAATTCAGATGTCCCTTAGCTAGCAACCGGGACAGAGAAAACGATCCATCCACCCAAGGGCATGCGACATGGCAATATAAGGACATCTGTGGTACAGAGGACACCCCACACGCACGCATCTCGGATGCTTGATGCATTACGCATTCCCTGGGAAGCCGCACTCACATGCTCCATACCATGTGGCTCTATTTATAGGGCCAAGTATAGGGACAGAAAATAGGCCAGCAGCGGGGGGTCAGGGGTGGGAGGCAGGGTCGGCTGCACAGGGCATGGGAGAACTTTCTGGAGGCAGTCAACTCTTCTGGGTGGCTTACGGTGGCAGCTGCTGCCCTGGGTTTCTCAAGACCCATAGAAAGGACCGTGCATTCAAGAGGACGCACCCGGCTGTCCACACTTCAATTGTAAAAATGCCTACTCACGGTGGGGTCTCCGCGGAGGGGACACGGGGACTCGCTGGACAACTCTCTTGACGTCTTAGTGGGTCTGAACACGTTCATAATCATAGGTTTGGTGGAAAAAAACATCAAAAAGATGTTGGGTGGCGGTTGAGCATAAAGAAATGCCCGAGGACGCACCGGAGTCGGGAGTCGACTCACTCCGCCTTTCCCAGCTTGGCCGTGACTTTGAAAACAACTGCTTGAGACCAGATGGTGGCATCTGACCTTCCCCTGGGCTCCTGGTCGGTGCACTGCACTGGCCGATGATGTCCCCCTCTTCAGGCCCCGAGATGGTGGAGGTCCCATGGGAGGCTGGGGCGCATGCCCTGCTCCTTCCTATCCTCCGAGGGGCGCACCTTAGAGGGAAATGCCACATCCTTTCTCCACGTCAGCCTGGGTGGAGCGCAGAGGGCAGGGATTCCCGGAAGTCACCAGTGTGGATGACAAGGGCGAGCCCTGTCCCATCAGCTAGGTCAGATTTGGGTGTCTCCCCTTCTCTCTGGGTGAGCAGAGGCTTCCCAACAGGGACAGAGGGTCCCTTTCTCACCAGCCTTATCTCGGGGGACACAGGGCCAGGCTTACTTTAATGTATTGATGGAACCCGTCCCTGTATGTGCCAGATTATTGAAGTGGTGGGTAATGTCAATTTATAAGGGGGACGTGAACCAGGAGGTGTTCCCATTGGGGAAGCCCCCAGTGGGTCGATTTCTGCCTTTGTTTTGTTTTGGGGGTGGGGGGTGCTGGGGGTGGAACCCAGGGCCTTGCACTGGGCTAGGCAAATGCTCTACCATCTCATTCCATCTTCAGCCCTATTTTTTCTTTTTATTTAGAGTCAGGGTCTCCCTGAGCTGCTTAGGGCCTCGCTGTGGCTGAGGCTGGCTTTGAACTTGCGACCCTCCTGCCTCAGCCTCCGAAGCCGCTGGGCAGCCCTATTTTTAAAAGCTGGTCTTCTTGCCAAGGTTTTGCAGCCTGAGATAAAACCATGCCCTCCTCACCGGCCTCATCCCTGCACACTCCAGCTCTGAGGAGGAGCCTTACCTCTTTCCCCTTCCCATAAACCTTTTCTCTGTCCCCACCCCCACCCTGGAGAACTCCTATGCACCCTCCAGTGCCCCTGCTCAAATGGCCCTCACCCGTGGCATCTGGCTGGACTTCCCCTCAGGGGAAGATTCTTTTTCTCTGCATCTCCACCAACCTGCCCTGGCGGCTTGGGGTTGGGCTGGGTTTCTCTCTAAATTCACGAAATGCCCTAGGAATTTATGGCTCCAAATAAAATCAAGTCTGAAGCTAAGCCCTGGAGCCCCAGAGTATAATAAATTACTCTCCGTGGCTGGCTGGGCTCTCCGGTGTCACCAGGGTGAAACAGGGTGGGGGCAGGGCATCATATTATTGAAACCCTTAGGGGGGCCTCTGGTCACTGATCTGCCAAAGACACTGCTGCTGCTGCTACTCTCTGCAGTTTGGGGCCTGCTCTCCCCATTGGAGGCCCTGTATGTCCCCTTCCCCCCGCCCTTTCCTCCCTGGGAGGTTTCACTAGAAACAGACCTTGGCCTGGCTGCCCAGGGGAGGGGGCCGGGGTCACTGAGGCCAACACCCTGCTCCTGTGGCCCAGCGCTGACCTCACCACGTCCCTTCTCACCCTGCCTGGCCTTCTTCTGAACTGTGAGTCTTTTGAGGTCCAGGAAGGCTCATTGATCTTGGTCTCCAAAGAGTCTTTCTCACTGTGGGACAAGGACACGTTTCTGTGAGCCTCTCTGGATGTCCCCTTCCTTGTGGTCAACATGGGGAGAACAATAACGCCCTGATATCTTCGGGTCGAGCCGAGCAAGCCCTCAGGACGGCACCCGGCAAGCATCAAGAGCACAGTTCACACTAGTTTACACCACGGCTTTTTCTTTCCATGATTGTGACTTGCCGTGATCTGTAGATGCCTACAGAGCAGCCATTCCCTCTCCCTTTTCCAATATAGAGGCTAAAAATGCAGGGTGCTTACCTTCCCAGCCTCCCCCCTTGCAGCTGGGGCACTGGCAGGTGACCCCCATCTTGGGCCAACGGGACTTGAATGAGACTGTGTGGGAGACTTCTGGGAAAGATTTTCCTCCCTGGTTAAAAAGAGACAGAGATAGAAAGAGAGACTTTGGACATTGTTATGGAGGAAGGAAAGGCTTGGTGCTTGGTGCATTTTGTGACCAGGAGGGCAGAGAGCCCCTTGGGACACTGTTAAATTTCTGCCCCAACCCCGGAACTTCCTACCTTAGAACATTTTTTTGTTGTTGTTGTTGAAAATGATCTGAAATGTCTTTATGATGAAGGCCAAAAGTATTCTTTGGAGCACATTGTCATAGAAATTTGTACTCACAAATGGTTGTAAGAAAGTGGTAGCACCAGGATGGAAATCTTGGACTCCTGAGGCCCAGTTTCAGTGGGTCAGTGAGTGCCCCTGCACCCAGCCCCTCTCTCCAATTCAGGTTCCGAGCAGCACAGAGCTGGCTGCCCAAGAGTCAAGGCTGACACTTCTTGGTCCACAGACTCCTGCTTGGCCTCATGGAGCTTCTTCATGGAAAAGAGGATGAATACACAAAAAATAAAGTATACAGCTGGTAGGGCGCTTGCCTAGCATGCAGGAGGCCCAGAGTTCAATCTCCAGGACTACAAAACATATATTTAAGAACAAGAGGCTGGGCACAGTGGTGCACGCCTGTCATCCCAGTGGCTCGGGAGGCTGAGGCAGGAGGATGGCGAGTTCAAAGCCAGCCTCAGCAATTGAAGGTGCTAAGCAACTCAGGGAGACCCTGTCTCTAAATAAAATACAAAATAGGGCTGGGGATGGGGCTCAGGGGTCAAGTGCCCCTGAGTTCAATCCCTGGTACTTCAAACAAGAAAAAGAAAGATCAAAAGATAAAGGAGACACAGAGACAAGCACCATGAACCATCTGAAATCCCCGGGCTGTGCTTCCATCCAGTTCCGCTGGGCCACCTGGAACCTGTGTCGAGCCCTGGTGACAGTCTGCTCTTGGCCCACAAAGAAACCCCTATCTGTCCTTGACCCTTGCTTATCCTTCCTCTCTGCTGCAGACCCCGTCTCCATGTGGCTGCGGAGCGGCTGCTGGGCTCTGCTTGGCTTGTTTCTGGTTAACTCTGTGGCTAGGAGGCATTTCACGGGAAAGACCACTGCACGGCATCTTTGTACCACAACAGCTGCCGGTCCCACGAGGGGCAGGGGGTTCCAGGAAAAGGCTGTGGGCTCCTTGCACAGGTGAGTGAGGCTGACGGTCAAAAACAAGCTGGAAAGTGAGGAGTGTTTGGATGTGGTTTGAGAGTCTTGGTTGGTCTCCACCAGACCAAGGAGCAAGGGTCTGGGAGTGCGAGAACTACTTGCCTGGCAAGTTCAAAGCCCTGGGTTCCATCCCCTACACCAGAAAACAAAACACAACCCTGACCCCTGAGTCCCTCTAGCTTCTCCCTCTTGCATATGCCATCTGCCATATTTTGATGCAAACAGGAAGGCCCTCACCAGAGGCTGAACAGATGGGGCTGCCCAGTCTTGGACTTACAAAATTGAAACAAATCTCTTTTCTTTATAAAACTCAGCCTCGGGTATTTTGTTATAGCAACAGAAAACAGACTATAACAAATGGTGTCATAATACATTTAGAGCATCTGATGGGCCTTCTGGAATCAAGAAATGTCATTTCTCTGTTCTAAAATTTTCAGTGGCTGGTGTCCTCTCTTTTATGTCATCACACTTCTGTACCATGTGACCATAGTTCATCTCCTACACTGATGGGTGCCTTCCTGTCACCTCTCCTCCTGGACCATTCTACTCCAGCTCTGCTTTCTGTAGTCAACAGTGACAAGCATCACCAGATTAATTTTCAAATTCTCATCCAACCTCCTTCCCTCTGCACCCATTCATTTTTCATGAAACGGTCTCTTCTACTAATTCACACAATATGGTCTCTCTCTCTCTCTCTCTCTCTCTCTCTCTCTCTGATGGAGGGTACTGGGGATTGAACTCAGGGGTCGAGTGCCTCTGAGCCACATCCCCAGCCCTATTTTGTATTTTATTTAGAGACAGGGTCTCATTGAGTTGTTTAGCGCCTCGCTGTTGCTGGCTTTGAACTCCCGATCCTCCTGCCTCAGCCTCCCGAGCCGCTAGGATCACAGGTGTGCACCACCGCACCAGGCCCCCACTCCTGACCTCTCTAATCAACTCTTCCTCTTACTTCTCGTCTGTCTTCTAAATCTCATCATTCGCCACATCCTTTTCTTTTCCCTACAACATTCTCCTTGTTCTGCTCATCCCTACGCTTACTTTTCCTGTCTTGGACACACAACCACTATCAAAGCCATCACAACACACAAGGAGATGGAGTCAGCAAGTGTTTCCCCCCCAGATCCACTCGCCCCGGCTCCTCTTCCCAGAATGAACCTCGGTGAGTGTTGGCTGACCTTGTTCTCCCAGGGCACGATTTGATGCTGTGGTGTTTGTCATGACAGCTCTGTGGGTAGTTTTGTGGGCATTTCCCCTTGACGTCTCTCCAGCCCCCTCAACCTCAAACCTGCCTCAGGCCAAAGTCGGTGTCTTTGCAGGCTCGGTTCTTTGTGCCAAGCCTCAGTGCAGTGTCACCATCCCATTGAGCAAGCCGGAGATAATGTTGTCATCTTTGACTTCCTTCTCTTCCTCTTCCCTGTTCTCTCTCATGGAAGATAGTCATGGTCCCCCAGGGCCTGTCCATGATTTCCCCACCCTGCAGCCATGTCCTGGTCTAGTCCTTCACCATCTCTTACCGGCACTGGAGTGATGTCCTCCCACCTGCTTTCCCTACTTTTCATTGTTTTTGGCAGCCTCTGTCAGATTCCTATGCAGTACCACGACTTAGACATAATGATTTGGGGGATGTTTGTTAGAGCGACATTACCTAGCCTATCCTGACTAACAGATACCCAATACATTCCAATAAACTCTTTTGGCTTAAATTATAAACTTTACCAGCACTGAACGGTTTTGTTCTTGAATCACAGTTACTCATTGCTTCTCTCCTTCTCTCACACTCCATTCAGGCTACAGTGGTGCCTGGGCACCTAGAGATCCTCCTGCCCCAGCCTCCTGAGCCACTGGAGTGACAAGTGTATGCCACTGTGCCCGGCAGAAGTTTCAATTCTGTTAACATCAGTAAATCCGCCTTCTCACCCACACTCATGCTGGGACAGGGGTAGGAGCCTGGGAGCTAACTCAGGCACAACATTCACAGTAGCTGTCCTGCCTGCAACGGTGGCCCCAGGTGAGCCTGGCGCCCAGGATTCACGCTCTTGGGCCGCCTACCCCGCCTCAGAACCTGCACTGAGATACTTTAACTGATAGAATGCAAAGGAAATGCAGCTGCTGATCTGGACCGAAGCCTTCAGCAGGCCTGGTGGGTTCTCAGGGTCATATTCTCAGGGTCCCTCAGCCTCCGGTACGAGACACCCAGCCACCTCGAGGTGACCGTGTGATGGGGAAGTGCACACTGGCCGCAGCCTGGGGGAGGAGAACTGAGAGTCCTGGCCAGCGCCGTGGGCAGAGGCTCCAGATCCATGAGGTCATCTGAGCCATGCCCATGGGTCCCACCCACTTGTGTCCCGACACCCAGAGGAGCCAGACCCGCTGAGTGAGTCAGGGTGAAAGAACAACCGCAGGTCACTCCTCCAGGTCCAGTCCAAGAGCCTTCTCCTCCCTGCCCATGATGGCCACTCCTCTGCAGCTGCGCTTGGTGTACACTGCCCTCAGCTGGGATCAGCTCTCCTCCTCACCAAACAGATCCTGTTCTTCAGGGACTCATCTTGGCTGCCACTTCTTCTGTGGAACAGTCTGGAGTCTGTCCACTCTGAATGCTGGGTATTTTGACCTGTTTGGGAATATTGGGTGTTTTCAGACACAATCCACGAGCCCGCCCTTTCTTATTTTAACAGCTCATCAATTTTGTTTGGATGAACTATCTCTTTAAAAAAAAAAAAAAAAAAAACGAGGTATATATAATATATAAATATATATATATATATTAGTGGAACTGTCAATCAAGTTGTTCGTTTTAGGCCCTTGGGTGGGACCTAAAGCCTGGCTGGGCCAATCAGCTGCTTCCTCTCCCTCTCTCTGGAGCAAATCCTAAGAAGAGGGGACAGAGAACTGAAGACAGATGCCAGGCCTGAGCCGACCTCCGTGGGCTGCTGCTGGGGGGCCTCCCAGGCTCCTCTGACCTGTGGCCTTCCCTGTGAGCCCGTGAAGCAGTCTGGAACAGACAGGGGTGCTCCCCACGCACCCCATTTATTCCTCTGCATTTCCCAGGCCCTGGCTGTTAGGTCGGGCCATGTGACCAGTTCTGACCCGTGATATCAGAGTGGAAAATGACATCTAGCTTTCAGGCTGAAGCTGTTAAAAACAAACAAACCAACCAACCCGGTGCAAACCTGCGGTCACGTGGGGCTGCGTGTCTGCGGTGGCGTGGCTGCAAGGTGGCAGGCCGTCCACGGGTCTGGGTCAGAGCCTCCTTGCTCTAGTTCCGAAGGCCTGGTCTCCACCGTGGTGCTCGCAGGAGGTGAGGGGAACTGTCAGCTGTGAGCCTCGTGGGAGATCACTAGGGATCACCAGGGGTATGTCCTTGAAGGCACAGGGGGACCCCACTCTCTTCCTCTTCCTCTCTTTTGCTGTCTGGACAGGACTTCAGTGGTTTTGCTTCACTATGTGCTTCTTCCAGCTCTTCTGCCTCACCATAAGTCCAAAGGTTATGGGGTCCAGAAATCATGGGTTGGGCTTCCAGAAATGTGAGCCAAAATAAAATGTTTCTCTTTGTAAGTTGATTATCTCAGGTATGTGTTACAGTGAAGCTAAGCTGACCCACATGGGCTATGTACCATGACTTACATATAATGATTCGGGGGATTTTTGTTAGAGCAGCATTACTTAGTCTATCCTGACTAATAGATACTCAATACCCTTCCAATAAATTCTTTTAGCTTAAATTATCTGGAGGCAGTTTCTTGAACCTAAAACAACAAATAAACGCTACCAGCACTTCACAATTTCTTTCCTGATCTCACTTACTAAAGTGCATCTATTTCATTTTTCCTTATCAGCTAAAAATGACTTGACCACAGGGGCTATTAAAGTCCATCCTCACAGGGCGGGGGATATTGGTCAGTGGTAGAGCACCTGTCTAGCATGGGCAAGGCCCTTTGTTCAATCTGTGTATTGTAAATAGTTTTTCTTTGCATCTAACCAAGCTGCCGTAGACTTACAAGGCTCTTGGTAAATATTTATTGTGAAGAAGACAAAAAGTGAATGAAAATGAAAAATTTGATGAGTCAACTAGATACTTCCTTTTCAATTGTGGTTTCTTAATCCATTTTCAAGTGACTTTTAATTAAAAGAGATTTAAAAATATGATTGTACTTCTACTTGTGTTATGATAAATGGCATACATAATAAATTAACAATATTTTTTTTAGTTGTCAACGGACCTTTATTTTACTTATTTACATGTGCTGCTAAGAATTGAACCCAGTGCCTCAT